AAAAATTAAAATATTTTGTGGATGTTTAGAAATAAAAGACACTTAGTGCTTGCTGAGTTTTGAATGAATATATTGATGCAGATAAACATAAATCATGGGCTATACCAATTATTAAAACCAGTAGGCAATACTTACTGCTTCCCTGCAGTGCTATAAATTGTAACTCTCCTTATCTAACTCTTCTGAAATTCTTTATAGAACCTAAGCTGTCAGAAGTCACTGCGTGTGATTTTGTGGTTCAGAAAGTGGTTTTGGAATTCCATATATAGTCTTTAAACAGGATACCAGTTTAAACACAGATTTCTGAAGGTGAAAATGTAAATTACTTGGACCACCATCCCATTGGAGGATTAAATGTGATATTGCAAGAAATGAACCTGAACTTTCAGTTATAAAGATAGAACAGACTTTCCCCCAAGAGTAATTAAAATACATTAACCTTGCACTTAAATTATAAGATAATAGAAGGGGACAACACATGTCTAGATGACAAGATTAAATTTACTTTGAAAGTATTTGTATGGGAGTAAGGATAGAGGATAAGGAGCCCTGATGGCACACTGGTTAAGTGCTCAGCTACTAACCAAAAGATTGACGGTTCGAACCCACCCACCAGCTCCCTGGACAAAAGACCTGGAGATCTCCTCTCGTAAAGACTGCTCATTGTTGAGTCAATTCCCACTCATAGTAATCCTATAGGACAGAGTCGAAATGCCCCATCGTGTTTCCAAGGCTGTAACTCTTTAGGGATGCGGACTGCCACGCCTTTCTCCCGTGGAGCAGCTGATGGGTTCAGGCCTCTGGTTAGCGGCCAAGCCCTTGAACCACAGTGCCACCAGGGCTTCTTAACCTAGAAAACTCTATGGTGCAGAAAATCCTCTGTAACCTGGGAGTCATTATGATCCAAAAACAACTTAATGGATACCTAAAAAGAATAACAACAAGAAGTATAAAGGGTGGGGTGTGAAGAGAGGAAGTCATGATCTCGCAGCCATAACTGACATCTGACAATAATCACTTGCCACTTTGACCTAGTCCATAGATTACAATAATTTTTAAAGCTAAAAAATGGAAAACCCAATCATGTCAATATATTTTTATTTTTAGTATCTGACTATGAAAAGCATCCAAATTGCCTGAGGATAACTAGTGGGGAGGGGCCAGGACAATACAAGTATTTCTTGAAGTTACAGTGCTGTACAAAGTCATGTGTATAGTTGTTACATCCCAGTTTTAGGGAAATGAACCCTGAATCACTTATTTTGAGCATGTGGAAGAATGAAACCATAAACGTCTTCAACCTGCGACACTAATATATAAAAACTGTTGCTTTCAAAATCAAAATTGATTTGTAAGCTTGAATTTTGTTGAAAATTATGATGCTTTTCATCTAAGGAAGGTTACTGGTGCAATTTTATTGCATGTAATGATTGTGGACACTGTTCTGAAATTAAATTAAAAGTTTTGTTTTAACCTCCATGCATATTTAAGAAAAAATATCGTAAAAATATATATACATTTGAACATCACAGTGAATATACAGTGGCAATTATCTGGAATTGCAAGTTTTAGAAAATAATAAGCCTAAGACTAGACTTATTTTCTTGGTAAACATCTTTCTTATACTGCCTTGCACATATTTAATGAAACAAAACAAAAAACATATATAGTATATCTCATTTAAAGTGGCAGAACAAAAGCAATACAAAAGGAAATGGAGTACATTTCAAATATGTTTGGAGTTTTAGTAAAAATTGCTTTCATTTTTTAAAACTTTATCTACAATTATTTTGTAGTGTTTATACTGGTTAACTGTTTTATAAATATTAAGCTCACACTTCTTACTATTTTAATGTCTTTTTTAATAAATCAACTAATCATTCAAAGAGTATCCATTTCACTTCTCTGTTTGCATTTTCTGTCCCTGAAAAATCATATTATCATCGCCTAAGATTATTTTCTTTCTTTCAAAAATAAAGCCATAATAACCTTTGTATCTTATTTGGAGCTCATGAGATATCTGTTGATACTCACCTAATGTGAAAATAATTTGTTTCCTGTAACAGCATAATTGATTTATTCCCCCTTTTTGCTTTTGCTCTGACCTTAACCTGCATATGAAAAATAAACTTACATTAATGTGTCGTGTTTTCTCCTAAACATTAGCATCCATTTTATGAAATTACTACTTGAAAATCTATGTATTTTAGTACACTGAACACATCTTAATACTTATACCTCTCTTATAGACTTTCTAGAGATGCCCTTCAGCCTTAAAACGAACCTTCTTTGTCTTTGGCTCAGTACTGTCTTTTAAAATTTAATGAGATACGTTTCCAGTTTAACAAATGAGACCAAAAACTACATTTTTCCCTCTTCTTCATTCTCCTTTTGACTGTATAAAATTTTTAAATTGAAATGATTATAATCAGAACCAATGCTGAAGTTTTTTTAAATCAAGTCTCAAAGATGGAATCCAAGATAATATAACTGATTTTCATGTCTGGCTTCTAAATCAGTTTTTTATATATAGACACAGCTCACAGTTGCTCCCCTATGTACTCCCCCAACACAATTCACAAGTGATATATATACATATATAGATATATATATGTGTGTGTTAATAAATCTATTTTACAAGTATTTTTTATAGATTTAGACATGTTTAAATAGGAACTTAGCCACAGTTAGAATCTGGAAATTCCGAGAAACTGTCTCACGTCTTAGTTTAGCTGAAGGCTTTGGACTATGCCTATTTGTCATAAATGTCAGAAGACAAACATGGGTGTTGGATCATAGAGAGTGGATTTTACAACCATCTAGATCATACTCTGGATTATCTTTATACAGATGAAAGTAATTATTAGGTGATTAGTGCTGACTGAGGGCAGTATGGTTAAGATTTTGGATTCTGGAGCCACTCCACTTGGTTTTAAATTCTTGCTCTTACTAGTTATGTGACCATTGGCGAGTTGTTTGAACACTTTGTGCCTTAGTTTCCCCATCTGAAAAAATGAAGATAATAGCAGTATCTACCTTATGCAATTGTTATGAGGAGCAATTTTTAATACCTGTAAGTCACATGGAACAATGCCTGCCATGTATTAAGTACCTTCTAAGTGTGTGCTGTTACTGTTATCTGCTTTCAAAGTTGCTACTTCTTGTTGTCTTTTAAAATTTTTTGGGAGGAAGAAAATGGAAAACATACTGTAGTAGCCTATTCCAATATTTTGCAGTTTTCATTTTTAATAATGTGTTCCTAATTACTTTACCTAAATGATAACTCCATTTTTATCACTCTGTAAGCCTTAGTGAAAAGTCACTGCAAGTACCAAAGCCATTTTCATACCTCAAAGCAGCCTGTTATGGTGGTACGAACATGGATACTAGAACAAAAGGTCTGCGTTCAGATACTGGCTCCACCACATCCCACGGAGGGACTTATACGAACTCCTCAGCCTGTTCAAACTTCAGTTTCCTCATATATGAAATAATACAATGATTCCTACTGATCTAGATTGTGTTAAGGATTAACTAGATGTACATAGTCTAGCACATAGTAAGCTCTCAAATAATTTTGTAGTAGTAAATAATTTTGTAGTTATAATCAGATAGAATCATAAAATAGACTTAAGCAAATTACTACTGAAAAGTTGTAACCTCTAATTCATTATTTATCATTACACAAATAGACTCTATTCCTCAGATTATTGTTGCTATTAAAAAATAGATCAACCTTAAATTTCCCTTTTGCTAGGATGAGTAAGCCAAGTTTTTCTACTTCTTCTTTCCAACGTTTAAAGTTCTCTGAATCTTCCAGCAAACCTTCCCATCAGTATTAAATTACGGATACTAAACTAACCCAAAGCTCACTGAAGATCTGGTCAATTCTGTTCGTGTGGAAAGAGGGCATAATCATTACTGCATGTTTCTCCATCAATTAATTGCTTTTCTAACAGAGTAGCATTGCTGACTTGCTTGTTTGGTGGGTACACTCTGACCCCACTCTTCTTTTTGCCATATTTATTCAAGGTTGGCTAGTCTTCAGCTTTAATCTTTATAGTTTTCTGCTTGCTTCTAAGTTATTTAATTGTTTCATTCCATTTATGACAAAGAAACACAAGAGGTGTTGAACAGTTAATAATTTAGTTTACTTCCTTGCTGCTATGATATTTGTAGCAAAGTTTGCCCACAGAGGGAAAATATGGTGTGACAAAATGGGTAGAGGCTTTACCACTTACCGCCACCCCGACTCGTTGCATCTAATCACAACAATAATGTATGCCAGCCTATGTCATTGCCAGGTGAAGATTTTGCCAAAATACATGACCCCAAAGTAGAAATAACATTAGAAAGTTTTCAAAAGCCGTACTTAGGTCTGTAGAAGTGGTCTCCTATTGTATGCTTATTGCTATAATGCATCAAAAATTGTTATACCACTAGAGTAAAGAACACCCAAGATCTATGGCTCTTTATTCTTATTTAGAGCAGAAAATTTACTGAGTGCCTCATTTTCCACCCATCAGATGGATAGGCCTATGGTTTCTGTATTTGTGTATGCCTCCATCGTACTTTTATACAGTGATTTTTTTAAATGTCTTTTTGGGAAGAATAAAATATAAGCTAGTAAATCTCTTTGCTATGATTTGGATTCAGTGTGGTGAAGACTGACTGATGATCCCTTTTTTCCCCATCTTTTGACAATAATATCAGAATATGCTTAGCTGAGTTAAAAACACAGATATGTGTATTGCTGTTTCACTTTGGAAGGTTGACTGCCTTCAAAAGATAGATTCTAAAGAACTAGTTTAGCCAAAGGATTTTAGATTAAATCCTCCATAAATGCATGTCCCTTTAGAAGCTAACAAAACACTTCTCATCAGCTTCTCAGGTTTTCTCTTGCATGCCCATAGTAGCTAGAAAAATCACTAGTAGAGCAGTCAGGGTCTTTGATGTAAATTTAGAAGTAAAACTCACATGTCCTTATTCTTCCTACTTAGTGTCTCTTCTTGCAGTCAAAACAGAGCCTTTGAACAGCAGTGAAACAACCACCACCACTGGAGATGGAGCGCTTGACACTTTTACTGGGTCAGGTAAAGCCTTAAGCTCGTGAGTTGTTACATACACATTGGGGTCCTCAGAATCCTCCTTGCGTATAGCCAGCATAAACACTCAAGCTGCTAGAAATTTGGTTTTTTATAAACTTAGCAATAAATCCACCTTTTTGAGAACTACGTAGTAGTTTCAAAAATTATATTTGGAAATTGTTTTGCTGGATTTTTAGTTGACAGCAAAATAATTCCATGGCTTCCTTAGTAGAAATAAACAGAGCTGACGTCCTTCATATTATTTTATACAGTATTTAATTACTTTAGCAATTAGGTTATAATAGTCTACTTTGTTCCTTCAGCTTGCCCATTTAGATTACATTAAAAACTGCCTTCTGTCCACCATTTGAGACGTAAACCTATCCATTTGATTCCTTCTAAATAACCTTGTTTCCTCTCTGGGTTTAAAAAAATCTTCCTGTGTAAGCAGCTGAGTGACAAGTATTAAAGGTTAATGGACTGCAGGAGAGCACATGCTGGTTGCATTAGAACGAGTCTCTGAGAGCACTACTTTCACTCAGAATGCTTCAAAGAGAACAATAGCATGTCTTTAAACATCAATCCTTTTAAAATAAAAATACCTGATAACTCCCAGCTGGGCACAAAGGGCATGAATTAAATTGACTTAATTAAAGATTTTGTTTAAGTTAGAATACTTTGTTTGGTTTATTATCTGATGAAAAGATTTTTTTTTAACCTAAAGAAGAGTTTGTATATCAAAAAGATGAGCATTCAGCTGAGAAGAGGATTTATGGTAGTTAAATCTTGAATTATGTTAGTGTGCTTTAATATATTTTACATTTATCAATGATCACATGTACAAGAATTTTGTATGGGTATGCTTTCTGTAAAAAGAGTTGAGGAATATCTTTAAACATAATGTCATTATTGCATATATTTGATTTTTATAGCTGCAGATGATCAAATTTTTATTAATTTACACTGATGTGGAAGTAATTGCCATGTATTCACATAATTATTAGTACTGCCAACAGAAAGAAATAATAAAATGTAAAGTTTGCATAGAGGCTCATGTGTACTAATCCACATACTTTTTAGCAATTCACCTGCTTCCTAGTAGATAAATAGGTAATGACTTCCTCTAAGCATTCTTTTTTGTTCACTTACCATAACTCTTGTAAACTTTCCCAACATGTTTTTAAGGAGATAAATAAAATTATTAAGGAATTGCTGATATACTTAAGTAGTATACCATGAGTTACTTGAAAGCCGAATGACAAAATCATAGAATTTAACTCCAGAAACAGTTTTAGAGATCTCCTGATCCATTTTTTAAGCAGGAATACAAAGGAACATAGAAGTAAAAGGTGGGTAGGGCCACATGGTCTAGGCCTCTGGTAAAAAATTTCTGATAATCAATCCTTTCGTAATAACTCCATTGGAAAGTATGAAAATAGGAAAACAAATAGGTATGAAAGTCATCCTGTCTAAAATTCACTCATATTATCTTCCCAAATAATTTCCCGTTTTTTTAAGAACTATCTAGGGCTATCGAGCATTGCAGTGATTGTGAGGGTAGCACAGGACTGGGCAGTGTTTCGTTCTGTTGTACATGGCGTCGCTATGAGTTGGAACTGACTGGATGGCATACAATAATAACAGTCTAGGGCTGTGCTGTCCATTAATGTAGCCACTAGCCATATGTGGCTATTTAAATTTATATTTAACTTAATTAAAGTTGGATAGAATTCAAAATTTAATTCTAGTCGCACCAACCACATACATGGCTTTTTGTTGTTAGTTGCTGTTGGTTCAATTCCGACTCCTGGTACCCCATGTGTGCAGTGTAGAATTGCTCCATAGGGTTTTCAAGATTGTGACCTTTGGGAAGAGGATCACCAGGCCTGTCTTCCAAGGCACCTCTGGGTGGATTTGAACCACCAACCTTTCATTTAGTAGTTGGGCTCTTAACTGTTTGTACCATCCAGGGACTCTCTAGTCCTATATATGGTTAGTGGCTACCATATTGAACAGCTCAGATATAGAACATTTCCAACACCATGGAAAGTTCTGTTGGACAGCAATGATCTAGGGCAGGGATTTTCAGCGGCAGCACTATTAAAAATTTGGCCTAGTTCTTTGTAGTGGGAGAGTTCTCCTCTGCATTGTAGGATGTTTAGCAGCATGCCAGGCATCTATTCCAAGATGCCAGTAGCAAACCCCCTACCCAGTTGCAACAACCAGAAATGTCTCCAGACATTGCTAAACATCCCCTAAACAAAACCCATTGCTGTTGAGTTGATTCTGATTCATAGTGACCCTGTAGTACAGAACAGAACTGTCCCGTAGGGTTTCCAAGGAGCAGCTCCTGTATTTAAACTGCTGACCTTTTGATTAGCAGCTAAGCACTTAACCACTACACCACCAGGGTTCCAAATATCCCCTATCAGGCAAAATTTGTTTCTCCTCTCCGCGCCCCCGTCGCCGCCCCGCTGGAAATCACTGATCTAGGGTGCCAAGATAATGATAACAGTAAAACTTTAAAATTTTTTGCCACTATCCTCTGAGAAACTGGTAATATACTTTAAAATTTTTGTTTCAGGGCATTTTGAAGACAAGCATTTGCTTACTTTTATGTGCAGAAATGCTGAAGTATAATTAGCTGAGTGCTTTGGGTAATATCTATGATTAATTAAATGACAGGTCTTCCAATTTGGCGGGTCTCCCAAATTTGTTTATGGCATTCCAGAAATCATTGTAGAGGTTAGGCTACCCTGTGTAGAAAATAGTTTTACTTTGATTAGCATAGTCACAACCCACTTTACCAACTTGGCTGTTTTCAGTTGCCTGCAGATATGTATATGTAAGAACAAAAAGTATAAATTTTAGTAAAGAAACAAACTGCCCTAGTGTTATCCCTTATGTGTCTTAGTTTTCTGAGCCAAAGTTTTTGTCTTCTGTTTAGATAATGAACATATAGACACTAAATATGAGATTTTAAAGATTTATTGAGCCTTTGTATTGTTGTGGGTACATTATTCTAATTATATCTATATTCATTCATTAGAGGGATGAAGCATACTACATATTCAGAATTGTGTGCAGGTGGATAGAGTTTTTGTGAAATATATAATTTTGCTATTTGGTTCATTTAAAAAAACTACTATGTTGTTTTAGGTGACGTCGAGTCACTTCTGACTCCTAGTGACCCTATAGGACTGAGTAGAACTGCCCCATAGGGTTTCCAAGGAGCAGCTGGTGAATTTGAACTACTGACCTTTTGGTTAGCAGCCGAGCTCTTAACCACTACGCCACCAGGGCTCCAAAAGCTGCTAGAGTGAATTTTTTTTTTTTTTATTTAATATCTCTTTGGAAAAGCCTGTGTTTTACAGTCTTGAAAATAACTGATAAGATAGTCCAAGTTTTGAGTGTGCCAAAGCGAAGTTCCAGAAATAGACACAAATGACATAGAATTAAGCCTCATTTAACTATATTTCTGTTAAGTAGAACATTCACTGTTATGAATTTATGAATCAGACTGAATTTTCTGTGAAGCGATGCTATTTTTATTATATAATGTACATTTTTTGGCCATAGTGTGGTAGAAAGAGTTTATTTTCATTGAGTTGATTTGAAAGCTGCAAATATTCTTTTAAGTTTTTACTAAATAAGTAGAAAGTTAATAGTTTAATAGGCAGTTTACTGTTGACTATATATAGCAAGTTTACTTAAATTTTGGTTGCTGAAAATGTTTAGAACATACACCTGTGTTCTAAAAATTTTGATGATTTTCAAAATTGACTCAAAATATTCTTGAAAAGATCCTCTTCTGCAGTTTTCTGTGGAAATTAAATTATCCAGTCCATACTCAGAGCTATAGGCAAAATAGCATTTTAAACACATTAAATTCTGCATGTTTATGAAGCAATAGATCACAAGGATACTTAATAGCATTTGGATATAGAAATATATCACGTTTCATAAAATAGTTAGCAACCTAAACCTATTTGTCACTTTTATAATTCTAAAAGTTTAGCTCCAGAATTATTATGAACAACTTAGAAAGGACATAGTACTTTGAAGTACAACTATGATTGATTAGACTAAACTAATTCCAGGGCTGCATTGTGTACTACTTTAATCTTTTTGAAAAGTGAATGAACAGCAGATGGCCTAATAAAGACACTCTGTGTGCCTGCCCAGTGTGGACTGGCTCTGAAGGGACTGGCCCAACACTTTACAGTCCATATATTTGCCATCCATCTGTCTTAGTCAAGGCAGATGGTTAAAGGAAAGAGAAACATCCAAACTTTTGGCAATATTCCAGTTTGGGGCTGCATGTTTGGATGAAACGTTAATAGGACCTGACTTTCACCTTTAAGGTCTCCTTAGAAAATTACTATATCTGGTAGTTTAAAATAGATTTGTAAATATGACTGCTACTGCATTTGGAAAGTATTGTGATTGTGTTAAAAAAAAGAAAATGTTGCTATTATCCCCCATGCTTTCTATGTGTATTCCAATTATGACTGGAATATTTTGGACTCTGCAGTATTACTACACATCTGATTGGCAAAAGGAAAGGAAACAGAAAACAATAGCATTTTACAATTTGAAAATGAAGGCTGGAACTTCGAATTTTTGTTAATTTTTCATTGTGTTTCATTTAGAATAGGTATGGAGGAAGAGCAACACAAATTGCCATCATATTTGGAATTTGAAACTTAAAGTTTGCAAAATTTAAAAATTTACTTTTATATCAAAAAAGTTTCCTTACCCTATAACCAAAGCTTTTCATTCATAGCATGTTAATTAATACATAAGAGCGTGCTATTGACTTGAGAGAATAGAAGAATGATAGACGGGAATGGCTTGTGAGAAGAATGTTCATTTCATGCTCTTAGAACCAAATGTGAAGCCGTTTAATTAGGAGAATGTGTTTAGGCAGCTGTTTCTTTTTAGAAAGTGCATTTTAGAAGATGAATTTATTTTCTTTTTTAGAAAATGAGTGTTTAGAAATACAAATTTAACATGATAATTTCTTCAAATTGGTTTCGTACATGCTAGTGAAAAATATTTATGAAGCAACCTTTTGTGTACTGGTTATGTCTTACAGTAATAACAAGTAGTGGCTACAGCCCCAGATCAGCGCATCAGTATTCCCCACAGCTATATCCTTCCAAGTAAGTGTTCAGTAGAGTCTTTCAGATTTGTTAGAACAATTTTCCAGGGTTATCTTTATTAATCTGTATTCAACTTTAAATTGGCATATTTTATGTATATTAATATATTATAGATAGATAGTTGGGCAGATAGATACTTGGGTAGATTAGGAATATAGGTATTCCGTACAAATCTAGAAATAGAGACACACCCATTTTTCTCTGGACATTTCCCTTTATTCTGGATATTTATATTCCTTGAGGAAAGCATCAAGCTCAAAGCAGAATACACTGGTTTTTGAATGCAAATCCAAAAGTGACAGTTTTAAGAAAACCTAAGGAGATTAAATTTTATCCATACCTCAACACTTTGTAATTTGTTCTATGACTGAGATATTTTTATTGGATTTCACGTTCTAATAAACATAACACATTACATATACATGCATATGTATCACAAATCTAAAATTTTGGAACATCTGGATAATTGCAAACAAATTCAGATATACGTCCAATATTGTTAAACTTGAAATATCTACATCCAGATGTTTCACAATTTTAGATTTGTGATACATTTGCATTTATATATAATTTGTTATTTTCTGCAGAAACTAGAGCATCTGTCCTTAAGTATAGGCTGAGGATTGGAGATCAACTGAGGACAATATGTAAAATGTGGCGTAATGAAGGGAAGGGCATTCCATTTCTTTTCAGAAAGGCTCCTACTTCTTTTTTGTTTGTTTTTCTCAAAGATTTCCAATTCTAAGTAGATAGTTTTTCTAAGGAATGGAAAAGGTAGGAGCAGTGCAGACCAGCAGTTGATATGGAACTGGAGATATGGACATAGACAGTTACTACATGCTAATGAGTCTACTCCCTGGAGTAGTTGGACAAGTTCTTAGCTGAGATGATCTCTCATCATTCAGAATTCCTTGTCATCTAATATAACATTTGATAAACCTCCTCACATTTTCATATGCTTGCCGTGTACTCCCTGAAATGGTTGATGTACAGTATTTCCATTAATTTTAAATTATTACATGAAATTCAGATGCTTCAAGAAGTTAATCATCTGTATTTAAATAACCTAGTTTAAGAATTTAAAACTTTTTTTTTTTTATCAAATGCTGGTGTATATTTCATTTTAGCTTCTAATAATTCAGTGTGAATGATATGATACTACTACTAACATTCTCCACAAGTTTCAGGATATTTAAAAGCTATATAATCCATTTATATAGCTATATAAATTTAAAAGCTATATAATTTTTAAATAGACTTTTGTAGTCATTGCACAGTATTAAGTCACTCATTGTGAGTGTAAATGTGCTCTTGAGCATATTAATTAACTGGCCTGTGCTCCACTTTTCTCATTTCCATATTGATTGGGGAATTATTTCAGATGTAAACAAAAGTTAGTGACCTGGAAGAGACTTCACATATAATATATAAGTCATTTTTCTCATCTTACAGGTGATGTAGACATAGAGAGGTTAAATTATTGGTCCAAGATCACTAGACTAGTTTATAGCCTAGCCTGGGCTGCTGACATTCGAACTCATTTTGTTCTCTCCTATATTGTTAAAATTAAATTGTAGATAAATAAGATTACTTCCTGGGTATTATAAGGTTTCACTGAATCTAAGCTGTCTGAATTAATATGCAGTCTTTGTTGCCACAGTAATGCTATTTTTCTGATATTTAGGCCCTATCCACACATTCTTTCTACACCAGCAGCTCAAACAATGTCCGCCTACGCAGGCCAGACTCAGTATTCGGGGATGCAGCAGCCAGCCGTCTACACGGCCTACTCGCAGACAGGACAGCCCTACAGCCTGCCAACTTACGGTATTTCATATCTTCTGTCTTCTCCTTCTTTGGTTAGAAGCAGGTAATCCTGCTGGTTAGAAGTTGTATATCCTAAATTGCAGCTCAGAAGTAAGATCATTTTACTAATGAAATGATTTGCATATGCATTTTCCAAACAGACTTGGGCGTGATGTTGCCGGGCATCAAGACAGAGAGTGGACTTTCACAAACCCAGTCCCCATTACAGAGTGGGTGCCTCGGTTACAGCCCAGGGTTTTCCACCCCACAGCCAGGCCAGACACCTTATTCTTACCAAATGCCAGGTAAGTAGCCACACATGAAACCTGTTAGATGAGCACTAATTCTTTGAATGAGAGTCCTTGGCTTCAGACTAGGAACATAACACCATGCAGACAGCTTTAAACTTCACAACTGCTCACACAATTTCATCAGAAAACACAAATAACTAGGCGGAAACGTAATGAAAATAGTTGAACATACATGAAGAAGCATGATCCATACCAAATTTAAATACTTAAATTTAAACTGTGCAACATCCGCAGGAAACCAAGTCCAAGCAAAGCAACCTCCAAGCCAGTGTTTGCAAAGCCATAGCGTCAGGCAGCACATTTGGTGCCTACTTAAACTATTGAAAAGGTTCATAACACAAACCAGTATTTTTGCAGTATTCCTTAAGTGCTTAACTCTGTTTTGATTATATTTAAAATTGCATTAGCACTCTTGTAAGTCTCCCTTATCTTTGAATGATTGAGGATATTTGTTCATTCCTAACAATTCCCTATTGATACTATATTTTCTAATAAAAATATTTATATAATTTGTATCACCCCCAAAAATCTCAGTGTCATTAATTTTTCTTCTTATTGTTGACTCCCATAAAAATTATGTTTGCTTTTTATGTAGTAGATGGCAGAAAAAATTGAGCGACGTAGTGAAAACATTAAAAACTAGTTCCTGTCTTTTGTCTGTATTGGTCATCATAAATTTGGAACTATATTAACATATTTGAGCCTAGCAGTATTGACATTTTAGTCAGTTGACTAAAATGAAATAATTACTTAGACCTTTTTGGCTGAAATGGCAGATTCCTGTTTATCTAGAATGTAGGTAGGCCCGTACTTGCATACAAGCTACGGCCACAGTGAGCCACACACAGCTTCAGTTAGCAGTGTGCAAGGGGGCATAGAGACATTTTCATTTATTCCCCAAAATACTTTCATATTGCATATTCCAGGTCAGACCAATTTGTGTTGATTACATAATACTATTGCTATTCAAAACACATTGATAAAACAAATAATCAGCTGCCTCACTAGTCTTTCATTTTACCCTTGGCAAATACATTTCATCAGGACATTTTTTTAAAACCTGTGATTGTTCACTTGTTTTTGCCCTCATTAACAAAATAAATCAGTAAATAAATTCAAGACCTTTTAGTAAAGTTTTAGAAGACCTGCAGCCCTAAATCACTGCAAAGTACAGTTTCCCTCGGTCTGAACCCTAGATCACAGCTTTTTGTTCTACCAAATGGACTTTAGAAACAAAAAGAGAGGGAAATGCAAACATCAATTCTGAATGGGTTCTGTATGTTTATTTCCTAAGGCAGTCACATCCAGAGGTTTAACTCAAGTGATTTTGTATACAAATACAATCGATATGATAATTTGGAAGTTCTAGTAGTTTCCTGGAAGTAGTCTCAGTCTGTATAATATTTTATTTTTTGAATACCCCTTTACTTTTAAGACACTTAACGCTTGAATGTTAGCTGCAGTCCTTGCTAAAGCTGTTCCAATGTGCTCCTGTTCAGCCAAACTCCCATAGGAAAGACTTTACCTGCTATTACAAGAGGGATAGAGCCAAGCACATTTTCTTTATAAATCGCTTGACTTCAGTTTTCACTGCCTTAACAATTACAACAAAATTCAAAACTGATTTCTCTCATTGAATTCTGCCAAGTGAAGTATTTTTGTTATTGTACAAGAAACACTTTTTAAATGCAATTTGTTCTTTGTCTCTAGGTTCTAGTTTTGCACCATCCTCTACTATTTATGCAAATAATTCAGTTTCCAATTCAACAAATTTCAGTGGTTCACAGCAGGTATGGTAGCTTTTTTGTATGTCTGCTTTTTTGTATCTATTTCCTATTTTTAAAGTGTAGTTTCAAGTTGACATGTAAGTGCGTATTCTCACAGAATAACATTTCTTTATCTTAAATTCAAATGATATTTCAGGATAGTAAAAAAATCAGCCATTCAGAATTTCTTGAGATATGTGTTATTCTGGATATTTTAGATTTTCTGGTTGCTGAAGGTTTGCCCTTTAATCATTTAAACTGGGATTATTTTAATCATTTATTTTGGAATTATAAAATCTATTACAGACTATTCTGTTATCTTAAAATAGACTGAACATAATTATATTTTTCTTAATAAAAGTTATCATTTATAAACATTAATTAATAGATTGAACTAAAATTAATAGTTGGATTGTGCTGTAGTTTGTATGACATTTTCCGTCCTAAATAGGATCATTTGTTACTAAACGAAATACCTTCCAAACTACTGTTGGCTGGGTTTTTTTTGTTTTGTTTTTTGTTCTGTGATTCCTTTTAATAAATATTTTGAGTCCTGCTTTTCTGACAGCTGTAATTTTTTTGCTTTTACCACTTTGCCTGCCTCTAGAAGTCCTTAGTGTTCCTCTTAATTATATTTTTTAAATATTTTTATGAGTTTTAAAATCGAGCCTATTAGAATTATGTGTGTAGCAAAAGCAGATGTCCCTGATTTAATGAATGGACTCTGAGTGAGATGAATTTGTGAAATATGTTGACACTTCAGGTATCTTTTGTCCTTATTTCCTAATTCTCAACCATGTGCAGGATAGTTGAGAATGAAGAGTAGCCAGTGCACAATTTCACTTTGATATAATTGCTAGACTTTCATATATTCTAAAATGTAAGCTATTACACAAGGACTAGCTCTTTTGACATACTGAAGGAATTCTATTAATTGCCTTCTCCTTACAGTTTTTATTAACAAAAGGCCAAAAGGAATTTTTATTATTAAAATAGTGTGGAATCACAATATTTTTGATAGGATTAAACTGCAATTTGGCATTAGTTAGAAAAATAGTTTCTTTAAATACCAAATGTCAGAGTCATTTTACATACTTTATCAAAAAAAATTGAGAATTTTTAACTATCCAAGTAGCTTAATTTGACTTACTTATTGATACAGTGAATATTTATTGAGCACTTGCTATACATTAAATTTTTGGCTAGGCATTGATGATTCAAAAATAATAATAAAAATGATTATCCGTTGTTCCCTACTATCTAGAAGGATAAGATCTCCTGAAGAAACAAACATGAAAATAATACCAACAGAGGGTGTTTTATAATGAGTATAGTAATAGAAATATGCACTAGGCAGAGAGGTAGTGAAAAAGAAAGATTCCTCAGCTCTACTTGGGTGGGTTAAAAAAAGCTTCATAAAAGAGAAGAAAATTTATTGACAAAGGTAGATTTATATCATAACAAGGATCCAGTACTATCTGAATATTTAAATAACAGTTGCCTTAATATAAAATGTAACCTATATATTAGACCGTGGTCTGAATAACAATTTAATTCTTTTAAGAAATACTTAATGAGTACCTATTATGTGCCAGGAGCCCCTGGGTGGTGCAAACAGTTAATCTGCCTAGCTGCTAACTAAAAGATTGGAAGTTCGAGTCTACCCAGAGGTGCCTCAGAAGAAAGGTCTGGCATTTTACTTCCAAAACATCAGTCACTGAAAATCCTATGGAGCACAGTTCTGCTCTGACACACATGGGGTCGCCATGAGTAAGAATTGACTCAGTGGCAACTGGTTTATTATGTATTAGAAACTGATTTACATTCTTGGGACAGAATGGTGTAAGCAAGGGTGGATCAGACCTGATTCTTTCCTCATGGAGCTTACAGCCTACTGAGAGAAGCAGACAATAAATCATTAAAAACATAAATAAATACAGAATTAGAAAACATGAAGGAAGAGAACAGGATGCTATTAAAAATAGAAATCTAATTTTGAGTAGGGAAGGATTTTTGGAAGCTACTCTGTGGAAACCAAATTTAGGCCAAGATTTCGAAGAGATAAGAAAAGAATGATGGCGAGGGCCTTTCAGATATAGAAAGTAGCACACACCAAGCCCCCCGAGAGGCAAAAGACTTGGTGTGTCCTCTGGTGGTTTCTGGCAATCATTGGCATTCCTTTGTTTGTAGTTGCATCTGTCAAATTTCTACGTCTGTCTTCACATGGCTGTCTTCCTTCTGTGTGTATCCATCTTCTCTAAATTTCCCTTTCCTAATAAAGACACCAGTTATGGATTTAGGGTACACCCTAATCCAGTATGACATCATCTTAACTTGATGACATCTGCAAGATCCTATTTCCAAATGAGGTCACGATCACAGGTTCCAGGTGGACATGAACAGTGATTAAAGCATTCAGCTGCTAACCAAGTGGTTGACAGTTCAAATCCACCAGCCACTGCTTGGAAACTCTATGGGGTAGTTCTGCTCTGTCCTGTAGGGTTGCAATGAGTCGGAATCCACTCGACAGAAATGTTTCTTTCTTTTTTTTTTTAATTCAACTCCTAAGGGGTCCTGGTGGCACAGCAGTTAAGCTCTAAGCTGCTAATAGAAAAATTGGTGGTTCAGACCCACCCAGATGCTCTGTGGAAGAGAGACCTGGCAGTCTGCTTTTGTAAAGGTTACAACCAAGGAAACTCTATGAGGCAGTTCTACTCTGTCACGTGGAGTCACTATGTGTTGGAATTGACTAAGTGGCACTCAGCAACAACCCATTCAACCCATACAGGACCTGTGGTTTAGAATAAGGAATTTGGATTCTGTTCCAAGGCCAATGGGAAGCTATTAAAAGGGTTTGAGCAGGAGAATAGCATAATATAATATGGATCTTGAAAATATTACTCTGGCTTCAGGGACTTCGGAGAAAGCCAAAATGGAAACCAGGACACAAATTAGAAACACAATCTATTAGCTGCAACAAGAAATGAAGGTAGCTTAGACAAGGGTAACAGTAATGGAAATGAAGAGGAGGGGAGATTTTTGTTTTTTTTTTTAATACAAAAAGACATAATTTCCAGAAGCTAGTACTCTGGACCTTTCCAATAAGTCACTTCATCTTCCTCTAAAGGCATTAGCAACCTAATGTAGAACTTCAGCACACAGACCCTGGAATCAGGCTTTATGGGCAGGATGTCACTAATAGGTGTGGGAGGTGTAGACTGTATCCGGTAGCATTGTCAGGAGGGATGACACCAAAAAGACTGTCTATAAGTTTTTTGTGCGGTGTTTCAGCAGAAATTCATTATTTTTTCTAAAAATACCCCTGTAGTTAGTTATAACAACAAAAAAATTTTTGTAAGCCCAGCTTACATGTATTAATATACCTATAAGGCTAAAACTCTATGCTAATTTACGTTTTGAACCTTCTCTAATGGTGGAGTAGTGGTTAAGAGCTACAACTGCTAACCAAAAGGTCGGCAGTTCAAATCCACCATACGCTCCTTGGAAACTCTATGGGGCAGTTCTACTCTGTCCTGTAGGGTCGCTATTAGTCGGAATTGATTCGACAGCAACAAGTTTGGTGGGTTTTTTTTGGTAATGGGTTCTGGTCAGAGCTGTTCATTATTACCCAATTACAATGATGCTTCGAATCACGTGGTTTCATCTGCACGTGCTACAAGCATAAGCTGTTGTTTTCGTTACTGCTGGTATGTTTATAGTTGCAGATTTTGTCAAATTTTCTGGTGTTTTAGTTACAATATTGTGGTAATTAGTATTTGTGAACTTAGATCAGTAACTTTTTTGAGAAGGAAATAGTAACTAAAGGAAAAGAAGGAGAAAAATCAAAAAAGGCATCTGCTCGTTTACTAATAATGTTGTAATTCAGTGTAGAAGAATTTTACAAAACAATTTTGTTGTTAGTGTTCATATAGCCCAAGAAATATTACATTTAAGCAGTTTACAGCTGTATTTATCATATATTATTCTTTGATTAAAATTGATCTAAACTTACATGTATAACAATTATTGATTATATAACTGACAACTGAATAGAGAAATTGACAGTTTAAAACATGAAGTGGGGGAAAGGCTGTGTTTTTTGATACGTGTTAGAAATGTAACTTAAATCTTAAATTCAGTTTTTTTAAATTTTTGTCTTTTTTTAAATTTTCTTTAAAAATATCACCATCTTGCAAATATATACCTGACTTTGATGATATTTTCAGGGTTTAAGTTTGAATTATGGTTAAAAAAAATAGTAACACATTAAAAAGTGAGTTGGCGAAAGGCATTGGTTTTGATGAAGTCATTCACAAGTTCACAGCTTTAAACGCCAGGAAAGGAAAGCTCTGATTTAGTGGAGATGTTCACTAAGTGCTGAAATGCTTGCGTATTTGTTCCTGTTTATTTTTATTGTTTATTATTTCATTTATGAATATATTTCCTTATGGATTTGTCTACAACTTCTAAATTATTTGGTCCGTGACTGGTTATGCAAACCTAATGCTTTAATATATCTCATGTAACGGTAAAGTTGTTTAACATTAGAATGAACATAATTTTGATGTAGTTCTTAAATGTTTTCAATTCAAATTCTTTTCTTACTGAATTTTCACTTTAACCGCATGAAACTATGTAAATGTAAATACATTTAGACTGTGCATATAATATTCTAATTTAAAGGTATAATTTTAATTTTGCTTAAATTATAATTTTAATTTTAAATTAGCTGCTGTCTCTGGGTCCAAATTGTAGCACTGAAACTTACTGGCTGTGTGAGATTGGGCAAATTATCTAGCCACTCTGTATCTTGGTCTCCTTTGATATAAAATAGGAATAATAATAATACCACATAGAAGGTTATAAACACTGAGTAAATATATTTAATCCCCTAGAATAGTGCCTGATGCAAAGTAAAAACCCATTGCCATTGAGTTGATTCTGACTCATAGTGAACCTGTAGGACAAAGTAGAACTGCCCCATCGAGTTTCCAAAGCTGTAATCTTTACAGAAGCAGATTGCACATCTTTCTCCCGAACCTCCAACCTTTCAATTAGTAGCCAAGGGCTTAACCATCCTACCGCCAGGGCTCTGATGCAAAGTAAGCACTATGTAAGTGTTTGCTATCACTATTTTACTCTAAGAGAGATGTGTTCGAAACTTCAAATATTGATTAAATTTTTCTTGGTTTACAGATGGTAGTGGGGGAACATCTGCTCCTAAAATTAACATACAAAATAGAATTTTAGTTTTCTGCCATATTACTTAATTCTTTTTGAGAACACACATAAAAATTTTGCTTATGATCAGTTTACTTATAGAGAGACTTTCCTTTTTGGAAATCACATCAAAATGTGGATCTTTGATAATGATGAAGCCATGAAATACCTTAAAGCATAGATGAATTTGGAGTACATTATGCTGAGTGAAGTAAGCCAATCACAAAAGACAAATACTGTATGAGACCACTATTATAAATAGTCAAGCAATGGTTTAGACACAGAAAGAAGCATTTTTAATGGTTACCAGGGATGGGAGGGGGAGGGAGGAAAAATCATTAACTAGAGAGTAGACACATGTTAACTTTGGTGAAGGGAAGGGCAGTACACAATAAGGGGGAAGTCAGTTCAACATAACCAAGGCAAGAGAAGACACTGAGAGGTACACAAGAATAAAAGGCAACAAAGGTAAATACTATAACATACACAATCCTGCAACAACAGTAATAAACAATAATTTATGAGTAGATACCTAAGTAGATAATGTATGCCGAATATGGGAGAGCATATGGGAGTACACACACGCACGTATATAGGTTTGGCTGTGGATATTTCTACATGTATATTTGTATGTGCTGCATGTATATTCGTATATATAATAGAGCACACAGGGGACACAGTCATGGAAACAGCCTAGACATAACCAAATACCTCACGAGACTGAGTTACTGGGCTTGAAGGCTAAGGACCATAGTCCCGAGGGATATCTAAGACAACTGGCATAACATAGTTCATAAAGAAAATATTCTACATCCTATTTTGGTCAGTAGTGTCTTGGGTCTTAAAAGCTTGCAAGCGGCCATCTAAGATACAACTATTGGTCTGTTCCAACCAAAGACTCAAGGAAACAATTAGTCTAAGGGACTAACTGACCACAGGAACTACAGCCTCCACCAGCCTGAGACCTGACAAACTAGATGGTGCCCAGCTACCACTACCGACTGCTCTGACCAGGATCACAATAGAAGGTCCCGGTCAGAGTGGGGAAAAATAGAACAAAATTCAAATTCATAAAAAAAAAAACAGATTTACTGGTCTGATACTGACTGGAGGAATTCCCACGACTGTGGCCCTTAGACACCCTTCTAACTTGGAACTGAAGCCTTTCCCAGTGATCACCTTTCAGCCAAATAATAGACAGGTCTATAAATAAACAATAAGACAGGTGAGGAAACTGCTGTTTTGACCAATCATCTGCATGAGACCAAAAGAAAAACATATGCTCAAAAGCAAAGATGAGAAGGCAGAAAGGGGCAGGAAAACCAGAGGAATGGAAATGGAAAGCTCAGGGTGATAATGCGGAGAGTGCTGACACATTGCAGGGAGTACAGTCTATGTCATGGAACAATCCGTGTATAAACTATTGAATGGGAAACTAATCTGCTCTGTAAACCTTCACCTAAAGCACAATAAAGAGGAAAGAAAGTTCAAAAAAATTAAAAAATAAAAATGTGGATCTTTGTTCTCTTAGGAACAGTGTCATATTAGGAGGCTTTAATCCTGACCAAAGATTTGTCATCATTGATAACAATGTGCACTAAAACATGCTAGGTATATAAACACCAATTGCTTGAACAAATTCTTACTATCTTAACAGGTAAAAAGTTTTGAAGAATCATTTAGATCATTGTAAGTTTCTTTAAAAAAATTGGTAAAAGGCAGATCAGAGGAGTGGGTTCATTGCTTTGTTTTCTATATGAAAACAAAGGGAACAATATAAATATTTAAAAACATTACCAAAGACTTTAGATCAAGACCTCAGGTGGCATGTAGCTTGTTTAGAGGCTGGGTTAAAAAAAAAAAAATCTCTAATTCATCTTCTTTTATTTACTCTTTATGTCCTGCCAAGAAAACAGAATTATCAAGGGTATCATTGAATGAGGAGAAAAAAAATCACAAAAATACAGACTGAGGTCAGTGTGGAAGCTGGGAGAGGCAGCCACACCTCCTTCTTGCTGGTGATGTTAATAGATATATAAAAACTGATTTTGTGAATATGAACTTATTTCATCTCCTTCTGTCCCCTTCAAGTGCATAGGACCTAATGATGCAAATCTTTGGGTTAGTAATTACAGGGGGTAAGGTGAAGTATATGCCATCTTTAGGTGGATTAAAATTCATGTACTGCAGCTGGTTTGCAAAACCATCAGGCCATTCAGTAGTATGTGCATGTAGAAGATATCTGCAAAATAGTCTTTGCCCGTTAGGATCACATCCAAGTTAGAGACTTAGAAACAAATGGAGCCAAATAATAGTGTTTCAGTTACAGTGGTGACTGGTTTTCTTTGAAGCACACTAGAGGGTAATTTCTCTTCAAACACACACATCTCAATTATTGTTTCAGGATTATCCATCCTACACAGCCTTTGGCCAAAACCAGTATGCACAGTATTACTCAGCCTCAACGTATGGAGCATATATGACATCAAATAACACAGCTGACGGCACATCATCATCGTCAACCTATCAGTTGCAGGAATCTCTCCCAGGACTGACTAGCCAACCAGGTACAGATCTTCATCCAGGTGAAATACTTTTATATGTTTTGCTGTGTCTAATAATATGAAGAAATAGACATTTTGAAAACATGGCTGAAAGCTCCCAGATAATTATGCTTATGTTTAATCTGTGTTAGCATCACTGCATAAAATGAGGCTATCCTGGCATTTCAGGAAATCCTTCTTTTAGATTAGGGGAACTTAACCTCAAAATGACAGTATGCATTACATATAAATATGGATGTAAAAAAGTGAATGTACCTATTGCCAGACTGTTTTTTTTATTTTGTGAATAACTTGAAACTCATCAAAAAATTATAATATTATCTTCTTGGGATATAAACAATAATATTTCCATCATGGCTAAGGGACTGTATAGTTCCTTCACCTTAAGTCATCAGTTGCTCTACTCTAGTGAGCAGGAAGTGAAGTATTTGTGGGGTCAGTGGTGGATAGTTTAATATCTTTGTCTCATCAGCACATATTTAAAATCCATTGTATTGGTTGTTGTCTGTATCTTACTAAAATTGAATTTTCTGGCACATATTTGACAGAGGTGAAGCATTTAAAGATAAAAGCAAGACTTTCTATAGAAATTATTGATCTGATTCTAAAATTACAAAGAAAGACAAAGGAACTAGAATAGTCAAAACAATTCTGAAAAAGAAGAACTAACTTCAAGGGCTCACATTTGCTGATTTTAAGACATACAACAAAATCCTGGAATTAACACTCAAGAGAGTGTGGTATTGGCAAAAGGACAGCTACAGAGAGCAATGGAACAGAACAGAGAGTTCAGAAAGAGACCTATACATGTATTTAACAACTTATTTTCAACAAAAGTGCAAAGGCAGTTCATTGGAGAATGGATAGTCTTTTCAACAAATGATGTTAGAACAGTTAGACATCGATATGCAAAAAAAAAAAAAAAAAATCAACTCATAACTCACACCATATACAAAAATTAACTTGAAATGGATCATAAACCCACATGTAAAAACTAAAACTATAAAACTTCTAGAAGTAAACATGGAGAAAAATCTTTGTGATCTTGGGTTACACAAAGTTTTTATACATATAACACCAAAAACACAACTGGTAAAAGAAAATACATGATAAATTAGACTTCATAAAATTAAGGTCTTCATTCTCCGAAAGAGTATTACAGGAATGAAAGGATAAACCACAGATTGGAGGAAAATATTTGCGAAACATATGTGATAAGGGACTTGTATTCAGTTCTCTATAATAACTGAAAACTCAATAACAAGAAAAGTGAGTTTAAGAGCTTTTATAAATATCATTAGTCTATTTGAGCATATTTTTCTGCTTTCAGTTATTTGCAACATCCAAATCCATCTCAGTTCTTTTTTGTTCAGCTTTGGAAGGGAAAGAAAATAGGAATATCTGGTCACAATACTGAAAGTTTTTTCTAGCTGGACCAATGGGGCCAAGAAAACTCAATGCCATTAGACAGTTATTTATTGAATGCCTACTATACCAGGCACTGGTATAGAAACTGATGTTTCCACATTGAATGAGCTCTCTTCATACCTTTAAACTCCATTTTACAAGCAAGAAAAAGAGCAAACAAATAATTGCAATGATGATGAGTGCTCAGAAAGGGAAAATGAATAATAATATTAGGAAATATTAACAATAAAACTAAGTTGGAGGTAAAGAAGTGACAGTGAAGCGAATATACTTTAAGAGACAGAAAACATATGCTTGTATCATGAGTTGATCAATTGGTAGCATACATTCTTTCTGGTTCCCTGTACAGAATATTGCTTTTAATCTAACTATGGACCTAAGGAGAATTAGTCTAGTATATAGAGTCCCTGTGTTGGGACTCTACATTTGGTGTCCCTACATTCAGTTTCTATCCCCCTTATCTTCCTTTTAAACTCATTTTCCTGTCAGCATGCAGCCCCTTTCAGTTGCTGGTCCTTGTCTCCTTAAGGCTTCCTGTTTAGGCTTGCCATCTGTCCTCAGCCTCTCTGAGCCTCTGTATCCTGTGCAGGGCCAAGGCTAGAGTAAGATGAGTGGGGCACATCAGGTGCAAAATTTGAGGAGGCAGTCATTCTCAGGGTCCTTCAGTTTTGCACCCTAGACACCTCACTCACCTTACTCTAGTCCCAGCCCAGATTCTGTGTTCCAAATCTGTCCTGATCCTCTTTGAGTCAGTACTTGCATTTCGTCAACATTCTTACCTTAATTTAAACACCAAAACCAACCAACCAAACCCCTTGCTGATGGAGTCACTTCCGACTCATAGTAACCCTGTAGGACAGAGTAGAACTGCCCCATAGGGTATCCAAGGAGCAGCTGGTAGATTCAAACTGCTGACCGTTTGGTTAGCACCAAAGAGCTTAACCACTGCACCACCAGGGTTTCACCTAAATTTAAAGAATGAATGATTTCAGAATCCTTGCCTAACGAGTAGTGGAGATAGGTAAGGAGATATTTGACATACTCTTACTACACGGAGAAAGGTTTTTCTCAATGATGAGTGCATGGGGAAAACAAGATAGGATGACTGTTTTCCAAACCAAAACCACAGAAGTCAAGACTGAATGATGGACAGGTCTAGCAGGACATCTTTTAATTTACTAGAATAGAGTTAACCTGTTGCCATCTTGTCGATTTTGACTCATGGGGACCCCAGGTGTGTCAGCCTAAAGTGTGCTCCATAAGGTTTTCATCTTTCAGAAGTAGATTGCCAGGCCTTTCTTCCAAGGTACCTCTGGGAGGACTTAAACCTCCAACCTTTTTTTAAGCAGCCTAGCGCTTAACCATTTGTGCTATCCAGGGACCCCCAGAATAGTGCTACTATTGATGAAAACCATTCGTATACTCCAAAATGGTCTATGCTAGGTAGAGCTTTGAGTAAAAGGCTGATTTTGCTGTAATTTCAATAGGAACGTAACAGAACTTCTCTGCAGGAAAGACATAAGTGGTTACTTTCTGTTAGCTAAAGAATAATCAATATTCAGAATAGCTATGTTATTTATATTAAAGATACTAAATGCAATCATATAGATATTCTGAGCATGTGACTTTGAATGTGACACATTCATATGTGACACTTCCATGTTCACTATCAGAATGCTGCAATTTCTTCAGGCTTCTTTTGTTTGCTAATGCCAACAAATATGATTTGACATAATTTTCAGATTTTATCATACTTTCTATTGAATTTAAAGAATAAATGACTTCTCCATATAACTGCATTATTCTCTCAACCAAAATCATAATAACAAACATGTCTGGATCTTTACGGAATTCTGTGACTGTCTTCAGTCAAGTACTTTTAAGTTTGATTTTGCCTTTTCAGATCTGGCGTGCATCCAAAAAGCAAACAAGTTTGTTAACTGTGGGATTTTTCTTTATTACTGATGAAATCTGATATATTTAGTTCAAGGGCAGGAAGAGTATTTCCCATTGACTGGCTCTGTATTTTAGACTCAAAGCAGAGACCTAAAAATTAAATCCACAGTTTTTCATAAAACATTCACTGTTGACTTCTTCCATTTTTAAAATAGAAACATACCTTATGTTCAATAAGAGACAGCTGGTTTTTCTGATTTAGAGATAAACCTAATGAAATAAAGTTGGATCTAAATATCTAAAACTTACGAGGTACAGTTATTCATTATTGTACTGATTAAAGGATAGTTATTCAATCATATATAGTGTTGGCCCAAGAAAAAGCCTAAGGCTGTTGGTAACGATGATGTTATTTGGAAATTGCAAATAACATTCAGCTTTTAACTTTTCCTTACTAGGTAGTTTGACAATGGATTTAAGGAAACACTACTGTGCTGATTAAGAACAGACATTTTAGTTCATTATCTTTATAAAGATCTTTCTTTGCCTTTTCCATAAAGTTTATCTTAGGTATGTATTTTTCATTTGCATTCAGAAAGTTTGAGGACTGGTTAGCACATTTAGATTAGAGATACAATATAGTGCCTCCCTTTCAAATATCTTAAACATCTTTAAAATTAAACACAGTAATTTGTAACCATGTTATCCTTTGCCCTGAGACTTCAGTAAACATTACATTAGCCAGTTGAACTGCAGAGTGCTCCAGAAGAGAAAAGGATACAGTGAGATCACTTGACTCTGAAAAGAAGCCAGTTTCTCAGGCAGAACACATAGCTTTTTCATAGCTGCATGACATTTCACATAAAGACAAGGTGAGAAACAAAGTGCTAACTCATCTAATGAAAACGAATAAGAGGATTTAGATAGAAAGGGCACAAGGCCCACATTAAACTTATTGCCAATTTACATTGTCCCTTACTGTAACATTAATGTGCCCCAGTGCAATTACCTGAGTTGAAATTTGGCAGAGGGACTGGAATTAACAGTTTTCTCCTTTAAAAAAAAAAAAAAAAAGTGTCAACAAATGTTTAATGAGTGGTTGAGCTCAAGTTCTTGCCTTTACCCTTTATCAGAAGAAATTGTAGCACCTCCAGAATCTATAGGGGTCAGGTACAGTTCCACCTGCTTGCTGTAGGAGCCCAGATAAATCATATGTCCTTTACAGGGCAAGCTTGCTTACTTCAACGAAGTTCTTTCTGCAAATCCTTGGCCCTTGCCCTAACAGAAATTGTATAAAGTGTCTGTGACTTTTTTTTGATCAGTAGATGCAGATAAAGGTTTGACCTCTTTGTCTCTTGGAGGGACTGTTGCTGTTTGCAGGAGGAACAATGCCTAGTGGTTGAAGCAGAAGTTCTGGAATCATACTAGCATTGCCATTTATAAGCAATTTTAATCCTAGTAAATTAATTAAGTCCCACAGGTCTCCAGTTTCCCTGTTGTTAAGCAGGGGTAATGAAGGACCTAATTCGTTGGGTTAGAATAAGGTTTAAGGCAGATATATATGTAAAGAATACAATACAATAAAGATCTCTGGCAAATCAATAAGAAAAAGACAAATTAATTTTTAAAATGAGCAGAAGATTTAAACAGTTATTTCATAACAACAGGTTATCAGATGAGCAAGAAGCATAAGAAAACATGTTACACATCATTGCTCATCAAGAAAATGAGTAAAAACCACAATGGGATATCACACACATCCACCACACACCCACAATGACTAAAGGGGAAAAAAAAATACTAAGTTTTGTCAAGGATTCGACAGAACTCTCATTGCTGGTAGGAGAATAAATTGATACAGCCACTTTGGAACAAGGCCAGTGTCTACTGAAGATGAACATGTGCCTTCCCTCTGAGCAAGCACTCCAACTGCAAAGTACATATACCCAAGAGGAATGAGAACATGTATCCACAAAGACATATATAAGAATGTTTATGGCAGCTTTATTAGTAATGGCTCCGAACTATGAATAACCCAAATGTCCATCAACAGAACAGATAAAGTATAATATACATATACAATGAAGTTCTAGTCAGCATTGAGGGAAGAACAATCTGTTCCAGGCTTCGGCATGGATGAATCTCACAGATGAAATGAACAGTGCATGAAGCCAAACACACATTTCAATAATTTATTTTAAAAAAGAAAACACTACATGACACAATAAGGTTTAATAAATGTGGAGCTACCCTTTGTAGTTTTCTTAAAAAGCTACATTTTTTACACCTACGGAAATACTTCTGACCACATGTTGTCCAAAGCACCAAATTCTTAGAGCCTTTTTTAAATTCTTTAGTAACATGGAGAGAATCAGTGGGTATCAAGTCTTATATTTATTCAAACCCAGACACTTCTGATGACTGCAGCCTTTTCCCTTCCCCTTGGGCTCTTTTCACCCCCTTACTGTGATAGATGCTAGCTGCCAGATCATTTGAATCACCAAGTTCCCATTAAACCCGTTTTGTGGATTCAGTCTACAACCAACCACCGATAACTGATCACAAGGACTGAGATTTTGCAAGTTTTTGTCCTTTCCGCTTTTACATTGTTGCAAGAACAAAGCTGTCTTAAAATGGTTAACACCTGAATATTGATCTGTAATGAATATAAAGACAGATTTTATGGAATGCCATCCAAAAACTTTTTAAAAGCTTGATTACTAAGTGAAAGTTTGAATTAGTATTTTATTTTGAAGAGAACATTTGATTTGCAGGATATAGGAAAATTGTTTCAAAAAATCATTGAGAATGAAAATATCTTGTGTGACTTTTTTTTTAAAGTAGATGTGTGCTCAGATACCCAAAGCCTCATTTAATACCTGTACGAGTAAACGAAAACATGGTTTGCTATGAGACTGGGCTATATTCAACCCTTAACCAAAGATTTTATTATTCTGCTGTCTACAGTAGATAGCTGAGTCCCATGTAATGAATTGTGCTAGCGGTATTTTAAGAGCAAATAATATTTGGAACACATGTATTTTATTTATTTATTTTGATCCTGTCCTGACATGCAACATTTCCCAAAGAAAATGTTATAGTCAGTAGAAATAAAAGGTCCTATATGCTTCTTAAAATAATCTTGGACTTTTGTAACAAATTCAACTAAACATTTATATGTTACAAATTCATATCACTTTATTATATGTTACACAGCTGTTTATAAAGATGAATGTCAAAAGAGTATTTTGCTTGCTATGAGAGTAGTTTTGGACAGAAACAGAAAGGGACTTATAGTTTCTAGCTTTGACTTTTTTATCTGTTGTCACTATCGTCCTTAAGCAGTTGCTGCGGACCAACTTTTAAATGTGTATTAGTATTTTCTAATAACAGAATCTGTGAAATTTTTTTCTCTCTCTCCCTTTAATAGGAAAGGCCAGTGTGTGAAGCGCACTAGCTTCCAGTAGGTTTGTACCATGTAGTTTTTGAGTTTGACACGAGAGCTAGGTACTTAGAGAGTAAGTTGGTTCATAGACTGAAAATATTTATTAGAGATCGTTATTTTGCAAAAGTTAAGTGAATCAAATGTAATGAACATATTTCACTTGAAAAAATTCATTGTGAATTAATAGCAAAGAATAATAAATAAATAACTTCAGCTCAGGTAAATTATACAGGCTAACTTTTTATTAATCCAAGGTGATGTTCATATTCTTCCCAGTAGAATAGAAAGCTGATCTTTCCAAATTGCCTCATCCTGAGTGGATGCAGATGAAAATCTAAATTTCATTATAACTGATTAGAGGTTAGCTGTGTAAGTATTTATTAGAACATCTCAGAAAAAATATTATCTAAGTATTGCCTCCACCACGCGTCTGTCAGTTTGTTTTACTGTGGCAAGGATTGTGAGGATGGTGTATAAAAAAGAGAATGTAAAACATCTCAGTGATAATTTTTATATTGATTACACGTTAAAATATTTTGGCTATATTAGCTCAGTTAAAATATATGAATAAAATTAATTCTACATGTTTCTTTTTACTTTTTTAATGTGGTTACTAGAAAATTTAATATGTAGTCACATTTGTGGCTCACATTGTATTTCTACTGGACAGCACTACCATAAATTGTTCTTTTAAGACGTTTGATTTAAAAAGAGAGGATAGAAAGCGGAAAGTATCTGGGTAGAAATGTACGGCCCTTGGAAAAGAAGAAGTTGAAGGAAAGATGAGAGGAGGTTTGACTAATGGAGCACAGTCCCCTAGGAGGTGGGTTTGGAGAGTCAGGTTTTCAGGTGGAGGGACGAGTTTGATCTGGAAGAAAGCATCTCATCCTCTGAATTCTGACGGAGTTGAGGATAGACCTAAATGTAGATAAATATGTAGGCGGGGTAGAGACAGGAAGTTGAAAGCATATGGAGTACAAAAACCGCCAGGTTTAATACATTATATAGATTAAAACTAGGAGAGATTTGTGTGACCTCAGAGAGTTCACTCCAGCCCTCGAGATTTGTGCCTCCGCATCTGAAATTTGTGGAGTCGAACTACATTATCTCACAAATCCCTCTAGCTCAAACATTGTATGATTTTTTTACGATCAATTTTTTGCTGGAGTTAGAATCTTGTGTATTTGTGAATAAATATTTAGTGTCACAAGGAGGTTTCTATTTTATAGGAATTTGTTAAGATAATAATGAATAATACCTGATTTGAAAATAAAGTGCCACTTTTGACACAAGTTATGGTTATTTATAGGAGAGTTTGATACAGTTCAGAGCCCCTCCACACCTATCAAAGATCTTGATGAGAGAACATGTCGAAGTTCTGGGTCAAAGTCCCGAGGAAGAGGCCGGAAAAATAACCCCTCCCCACCTCCCGACAGTGACCTGGAGGTATGACTGCTTATCCTTACAAGAGTGCAACATGACCTCTTAACTTACTAAATAATATATTCTATACCTGATAGTTTCATAAAGTTTCAAACGTAAAGCTTGCATATATATCATGAGTTGAGTGCATCAACTTTGTAGTAGGCATTTTACGATTCTGGAGTGTGGTATTTCCTCCATTATCTCTGACAAAATTAAAAACAGTAACAAAAGTGATACTGCTTTAGGAATTCTAGGCCTGAGATAATTGTTTTTTTTTTAATTCAGATTTTCACAAACAGGAATTGTAAAAATAAAGCCATTGATAATGGGAATATTTTCTGAGAAACACTATTTATAATTGGCAGTACTAAAGTAATAGAAGACATTTATATGGGTCAATAAATTTTTTATAGTTAACATTATATGGAAAGGAAAAGTCATCTTCTTAAAAATAGGAAAAAAAGTCATTTGGTAAATATCTTGAAATTTCAATATGTGTGAAAATACCTCAATATATATCATTTTTCAGTTGTGAATTTTTTCCACTTGTGAACGCTTCTGAGACATACCATACTTAGCAGGTTGATTTTTATTATAAAACATCAGGAGAAACTCTTCTTAACCATAATATGTTATTTCTCACACAACAGCATACATCAGTTAAGTAAAATAATAATTTTCCAGATTTAGTGAATTAAAGGAAGAGACGTTTTGCCTCTTCATAAGCGGTAATATGCTTTACCTGAACAGTAGTAAATTCAAATGCCTTCAAGAAGCAGGCAGATGGTACAAATGAATAAAGCAGGCTAGATAGTTGGGAAGTCTGTGGGGAGCTGGGAGCCTGCGCCTGTCCAAAGGGGCCCACCCACCTCAGGCCCAGGCACAGGCCCACACTGCTACAGCTTCTAGGTTCTCTGCCACAGTTAGAACTCTGCAGTATGCGTGAAGTCTCCTGATTAAGAAATGTTAATCAGTGTTAATCGGAATCTTTCAAAACATTGTCCAGGCCAACCAACACATCTGCTGGCTTGGTCTGATCCAAGCATCCACACTTTGTAATTTCTGTTCCAGTAGTTGCTCACTGATTCTTTTAATTTTTTTATTAATTTAATTCTTTCCAATCCTAAATTGCGTGAATCCATGAGGTACAAAACTTTATAATACACTGAGTTTCAAGCACAGGTCTATCATAAAATTTTTAAATATGCGTTTTTGGTATTAACTCCAAGTCTTTAAAGCTTATTATTGTCACTCTGGCCTGTCAGGTTTTACAAGTGTTAAATTTGACAAATCTGAAAAAAAAATAATGTAGTAGGATATTTTTCTATAAAATGCTGTCAAGATTATATCCAACAATGAAGCAAGATATTTTCTACTTGTAAAGGGATTTCTGTTTCCTTAAAACTTTATAGTTTTTGATATTTGTCTTTTATGTCTTCAGCGTGTGTTTGTCTGGGATTTGGATGAAACCATCATTGTTTTTCACTCACTGCTCACAGGGTCTTATGCACAGAAGTATGGCAAGGTAAGGAATCAAATTTTAGCCCCAAAATCTTGTTAGAACTTTGTTTTCCCAATAAAACCAATGGTCATTTAAAAATATTTTTAAGTGTTTTTATTAAAGTTTGTCAAATCTGCTCAATTGTTTATTTCCAGTGGCTCATTGTTCTTTCATGTGAACTGGCAAATTTTATCTAAATAATTAGAATTGGATTCTTTTTTCTTTCTTTATACTGACTGAGTTTCCTCAAGACCGAGATTGTTACTCCCATGTAATTATTTTAGAAAAAAAAGAAATTAAATGAACTTTAAAACATTGTAAAATCATAAGTATCTTCTACTAAGGATACTTTTGAATTAATTTTTTGCCCCAAATGTTGCCCTAGAATACCATTTGAAATAAGCAAATCTTTCGTCTGACAGATCCTTCAGATTTATGAATAAAAATATTTTTCTGTAACTAGAGTAAGCATATGAACAGCAGCTGGGGATAATGCCTTCCGACACACACAAATTCAGAGTTGGATGGTATCATTACGCCCCTTCGTTTCTCTTTTGTCATTGTTTTCACAGTTAGCTTCTTATAACAGTGTTGTGCTGTGTGAGTGCTTTTCCAAACGTTGACACACTTAAAACAGGCTTTTCTGCTGGAAACATATTCTCTATAGCGTAGTCACTAAGGCCATTACTGTTTGTGTCTTCAAATCTAGAGGACATGTAATCTAACCAGAGTCAGTTCAGAACATGTTGGCGTACCTTCAGTTACTGTACTGAAAGTTTGGTATTACTGTATTCTAACTTTGGTTCCTTTACATAGTGCACTTTCAGAAGTGTTTTTTTGTGTCTTTATGGATGTGAATTTATATATTATTTGATAGCATCTCATGTTAGTTCAATATGTAGTTTTTAGCAATTATGTTAAGGTTTATCTTCAAGTAAACAACGAATTGTAGTGATGAATTGCCTCAAGTGTTTCTTCCTAAATTGTACTCTTGGTGAATCTGCATTGTCATTTGCTTTTTAGTATAGGTAAGGGATATTGCTCAACAAATATGACAGGTGACCCTTTTAATAACCCTTTTGAAGAAAGATTCTTAGCCCCTTTATCTCAATCACTATCATCTGAAACAGGGATCTCTGCAGTGGGATGTGTACATATTTGCTAGAGATCCACAAGATGCCCCATTGGGATAGGGAAAGAAAATATTAGGGCATAAACACACACATACACACATACATGTATAATATTTATAAATTTCTATGTTTGTATGTTTCATAATGTACATAATTTATAAATACATGCATATGATTATAATTTAAAGTATATATATAATTTATAAGTAAATAAACTATAGATATATTCGGAGTATATGCTCAGAATTCTATTAGTGATGAAGTAAGCAATGTAAGAAGTTTCTAGGCAATTATCTGAAGCATTTTCTGGAATAATATTGGTTTATTAGGGGTACACAGTAAATTCTGTTGAACTAATTGTAATATTTTTGTATAGCTAAGTTCTGTATTAGATATATGTGTGACAGGAACAATCTAACTTCAACACATGAATCCAAGTAAATGTCACTTCAAAATAATCACCATAGAGACGATACCTAAATATCCATGTTGCTTCCGTTGTGCCACATTAGTGGTGGAATTCATCTTTTGGAATTACCTTTAGATTTCTAACACATTTCCTGGCTTTGAATCTTCAGCCTTTTATGGTAATTTTGATTTTCGTAAATAGTAGGATTATTTGGATCCATGGCAGTGAGTAAAGGGCATAGTAACAATGTCACTATATATATTTTGTTTTCTTTTTGTCAAAAAGATCGTAGAGCAGTGAAACTGCTTTCGTGAATGTCTCATATACTGGCTCTAAGAGCAGTTCCAAAAGCAGAGCTCTCACACTTCTCTCAGCAGTGGTGCATCACTGAAATAAACCCATCATCTCCCCAGATGACTACCCGGACGTGCAGCACTCATTTCAACATAGAAGGTTCATTATTTTAAAGTATTGTCTACAATGCTTTATTCAAATACAAAATACAGACATTCTCCATGCTCACTGAAGCTTAAGACATAGCAGAGAATATCAAAAGAGTAGGACAAAGTGATGGAGTCCCTGGATGCTGCAAACGGTTAAGTGCTTGGCTGCTAACCAGAAGGTTGATGGTGTGAATCCATCTAGAGGCACCTCAGAAGAATGGCCTGCTGATCTACTTCCAAAAGATCACTGTGTTGAAAACCCTATGGAGTACAGTTCTCTGAAACACATGGGGTCACCATGAGTCAGAATCAGCTGGTTTTTACTGGCTGAGGGCAAATTGAGGGGAAAAAGGGAACCAACTTTTATTTAGTGACTATTTAATGCATCACAAAAATGTTAAGGAGTAGGTTGTTCTCGCCAATCCATAGAGGAGGAAATAGGCTCAATTGTTAGTTGCCTTTTAGTCACCTCAGACTCTTGGTGACATTATGTATGCAGAGGGAAACATTGTCCAATACTGTGCCATCTTCATGACTATTAGTGTATTTGGCTCCATTGTTGCATCTATTCTGCCAATCCAGCTCATCGAGAGTTTCCTTCATTTTCATTGGCCAAACATTATGTTCTTTTCTAGCAATTGATCTTTCCTGATGATGTGTACAAAGTAAGTGAACCAAAGTCTCGCCATCCTTGCTTCTAAGGAACATTCTGGTTGTATTTCTTGTAAGGCTGCTTTGTTTGTTCTTCTGGAAGTCCACCAAAATCCAAACCTGTTGCCGTCCAGCATATGCCAACTCATAGAGACCCTACGGTATATTTAATATTCTTCACCAACACCACAGTTGGAATGCATCCATTTTTCTTCTGTCTTCCTTTTTTTATTATCCAAATTTTTCATGCAGATGAGGTGATTGAAAAGATCATGGTTTGGGTCAGATACACTTTAGTCATCAAAGACCTTAGATATATTTGCTTTTTAAAACTTCAAAGAGGTCTTTTGAAACAGATTTACCCAATACAATACATTGTTTGACTTCTTGACTGCTGCTTCCATGGACGTTGATTGTTGATCCAAGAAGAATGAAATCTCAGAGAGAGAATAATATGTGCAAAGTCACACAGCAAGTCAGTCGGGCCCTGGACTATTTGATCCCATAGCCCCTGTTCCTTCTGCTACACGACATTGCAAAGCATAGACAGTTAATCTACCATGAAAACACTATAAGTGCTACTTCTGAAAAATAATTGACAGTTCCTAAAAAGCATGAGGACATTTAGTGATGTACTGTGTAGGCAGTTGTGTGAACTCCTCTTTAAGTTGGAGTAATTTTAACTATCTTTTCTCAGATACTTGGGATATTTTTCTATGAAGAGGTAAAATTTAAGAAATGTTCAGTGAAATGGAGTGTGGCAAACAGGCAGTAACCGGTACTGGTGGTGGTGCAGAATGTAAAAAGACTCAGAGACACTTTTGGAAGGGTATGAGGAAGAAAAACTTACATATGTAATTTGATATCACCTGTTATGTGAAAGAGCCTCCTCCGATTGGCATTTCAGAGGTAGTAGGAGGGCACGGTAGGGGTGGTTAGGGAAAGAGCTTTTGAGTCAGATAAACTTAAGTGTGAAAACCCAGTCCTGAAGCTTACAGTTTCCTCACCTTGGGGATGTTTCTTAATCTCTCAGTCTCTGTTTCTTTAAAATGGGAATACAACTGTCCATAGTGAATAAGAAAGAGGTAACGTATTTAAAGGGTGTAGCAGAACACTTGGTGTAAATTATTACTCAAAACTTGGTAGCTGTTATTATTTACTTTAAGACACATTATACCGTTTAATCCTCCCAGTTACTCTGCTGTAACTCTTTGTGATCCAAGTTTTATGGGTGAGAAAACCTGGGTTATATAGTTTTACATAACTTTGCCAAGGTCACAAAATGATAAATGCTGGTATGTGTACTAGAAACCAGGTCAGTTTCATAAGTTCTTCGTATTATTCTGTGCTACTAGAAGAGGGCCTGTTAGAATTAACCATGGTGAACGCTGTATTTCCTCAGGAGCAATTTAAGAAAATAAAAATATTTTTAGGTCATATTTTTCTAATCAACATGAGAATACCCGTATTGAGTTCCATGAAAAACAACTTAGATCACTTTATTTATTAAATTATTATTTACATTTTTATGTTGTTGTTGTTAGATGCTGTCAAGTTGGTTTCAACTCATAGCGACCCTATGTACACCAGAAACACTGTCCAGTCCTACGTTGTCCTCACAAACTTTGCTATACTAGAGCCCATTGTTGCAGCCATTGTGTCAGTCCATCTCATTGAAGGTCTTCCTCCATCTCATTGAGGATCTGTCTCTCTTTCACTGACCCTCTGCTTTACCAGACATGATGTCCTTCTTCAGGTACTGGTTCATCCTGATAACATGTCCAAAACACATGAGATGAAGTCTTGCCATCCTCCCTTCTAAGGAGCATTTGGCTATACTTCTTCTAAGACAGATTTGTTCATTCTTATACCAGTCCATGCTGTCTTCAGTATTCTTCACCAACACCGTAATTCAAAGGCATCAGTTCTTCGGTCTTCCTGTCCAGCTTTCACATGCATTTGAGGTGATTGAAAACACCATGACTAGGGTCAGGCTCACCAGTAACATCTTTGTTTCTTAACACTTTTAAGAGGTCTTTTGCAGAAGATTTGCCCAATGCAATATGTCATTTGATTTCTTTACTGCCACTTCCATGGGTGTTGATTGTGGATCCAAGTAAAATGAAATCCTTGACAACTTCAGTCTTTTCTCCATTTATCATGAAGTTGGTTATTGGTCCAGTTGTGAGGATTTTTGTTTTCTTTATGTTGAGGTATAATCCAGACTGAAGGCTGTAGTCTTTTATCTTCATCAGTAAGTACTTCAAGTCCTCTTTGCTTTTAGCAAGCAAGGTTGTGTCATCTATATATTGCAAGTTGTTAACAAGTCTTCCACCAGTCCTCATGCCACGTTCATACAGTCCAGCTTGTCAGATTACTTGGTCAGCC